CTGCGCGGCTCCCCCACCAGGCCCCGCGCCGCGGGCGGCGCCGACTGGCGCCTCTGCCGCGTCTGCAGCCCGGCCTGCGGCGCCGACGACGACGACGCCGACGCCGCCGCCGACGACGACGCCGACGACGACAACGCCGACGACACCGACGCCGAAGACGCCGCCGCAGACGCCGACGACGACGACGCCGACGCCGACGACGCCGAAGACGTCGACGACGCCGAAGACGACGCCGACGCAGACGACGACGAGGACGAGGACGAGGACGACGACGAGAACCTCACCGACAGCGGCGAGAGCGACGGCGACGGCGACGACAACGAGGAGCTGGACGACGAGGGCGAGGGCGAGGGCGACCACGGTGGCGACAACGACGAGGAGCTCGACGACGACCGACAATGGCGGCGACGACGGCGGCGACAGCGGTCATTCCTCCTCGTGCTCGTGCTCGTGCTCGTGCTCTTCCAGGCCCTCGAGCCCCTGCATCTCCCCCAAATCATGCTGCTCCTTCTCGTCACGGTCGTCCTCGTCGTCCTGGCCCGCATCTCCCTCCACTTGGATGACCGCGAGGGCTCCTGAGGAGATAGGGAGGCTCTACGTGGATGATCAGGTGGCTTATAGATGACCTAGCATAGATTCTGAATTGATTGAAATACCCCTGATTGGCACAAGATCTGGGCTAAGTAGGCTGCGCCCAATTCGCGGAGTGATCTAACCCGCCCAAGCCAGTTGGGGCACTGGCACCCCACTTGTAAGTTAGCTTACGCCAGATACAGCCCACCATCCACTCACTATTCAGCAAAAATTGTGAGGCAGTTGCGAGGGCGACGTCTTGGCGAAATTCAGTCCTCCCCGTGGCCCCGGCGTTCCGCCCACACTCCGAGGCACCCCATCCGCGGGCCCTCCTTTTCCTCCTCCTGCTCCTCCCACTGCTCCTCCCACTGCTCCTGCTCCTCATCGCCCTCCTCGTCCTCCCAGTCCTCCTCGTCCCCGTCCTCCTCCTCCTCCTCCTCCTCCTCCACCACCTCCTCCTCCTCCTCCTCTTCCTCCTCCTCCTCTTCCTCCTCCTCCTCGCCTCCTCCTCCTCTCTCCTTCCTCCTCCTCCCCCTCCCCCCTCCTCCTCTCCTCCTCCTCCTCCCTCGACCTCCTCCTCCTCCTCCTCCTCCTCCTCCTCCTCCTCCTCCTCCTCCTCCTCCTCCTCCTCCTCCCCCTCAACCTGCACCCGCGTGCCCTTCTCCTGGACCACCTCCGAACCCCCGCGGGCCACAGGGGCATGCGCCGAGCTCGAGCGAAAGCGTCCCCGCGCCCGCGCCCACGGCCACGCGACGGCAGCCCGCGACGGCCAGGGCGCCGAGGCCGACGCGCCAACGCGTCCGAGGCGGCGGCCACGCGCGACCACGGCCACTGCCACAGCCAACGACAGCGGCCGCGGCAGCCAAGGCCACGGCGGCCAGGGCCACGGCGGCCACGGCCACAGCGGCCACGGCCACGGCCGAGGTGGCGGCCACGACCACGGCTGGCCGGCGGCGACGGCGATGGCGCCACGGCCACGGCGGCCACGGCCACGGCGGCGGCGACGGCCGAGGCGGCGGCGGCAGCGACCACCGACGGCCAGCGGCGACGGCGATGGCGCAACGGCCAGGGCGGCCACTGCGACGGCGGCGGCCACAGCCCGAGGCGACGGCGGTGACGGCTGCGACGGCCACGGCGACGGCGGCGGCTGCTGCGACCGCCACCACGCCCCTGCCGCCCGTGGGGACGGGGCGAGGCACTGCAACGGGGGCGGCCACCTCGTCCTCGTCGCGGGAATCCGTCCTCGGGCGGGCGCGGGCAGGCAGGACGAAGACGACTCTGGATGAGGATGCATCGGGGACCTCTGAGAACTGGCGGGTCTGGAGGATGTACACCGGGCGCCGTGGCAAGTTCAGCACGCTCCAGAAGGCCCCGGAAGCATATCGGGACTCGGGGCCAATCTCGAGGCCTCCCGGGCCGGGCCTGGCCCAGGGAGACTGGGGGACCTCCAAAACCCGCCTTTCGCTTCCCCTTGACCGTCGTCCCCCCGGTTACCTCCCTCCATTATGTTCCAACTTTCCTGTACATTGTCTTGAATCGTCCGGGACCCCCCCCCCCACACCATGCCCCCACCACCCCTGACACTGGCAGCCTCATGGAGCCTCTGGGCACAGGCTCTTAGGGCCACCCACTGCAAAGATCATAAATAAACACGTGGGCGACGAACAATGAAGCGTCCTACGCATCACGAAACACTGGCCATCCGCACTGGCTTACGCGGTTACGCGGGCCACCAGCACGGAACGCCGCTTGGAGAACGAAGGCGCTCAGGCGCGGCTCTAAACGCGCGACTAACGCGCGGGCCCTGTCTGCAGCGCTCCTTTTCCTGACCGCTGAATGACGTGCTCCCCGTCGATGTCACGCCAGCGCCGCCCAGGAGGACGAGGAGGGCGATGAGGATATACGACTGGCGCCGTGCGACTTGTGCTATGATGCATGCTCGAGTGCGGATACGCATGTACAGACTGGGTGCACATCTACATATACAAGCTGAAGCTACGCGCACATCGATGCATCTATGTCTACACTTACAAACAACAGTAGAACACCAGGACTAGTCTGTGCACAATTGAATGCATCCGTATAACTACACGCATGCGTATCTGGTGCGAAAATCTTCAAAATATACACCGCAAGTGATATTGCTGCTATGAAGCACTTGTGCATAGCGTGACTCTGCGGCGGCCCTCGCGAAACGCTACGGTAGGGGCATCGGATAAAGAACCCTTTGAAAAATAATCCAGGGTTCTTGAGGCCGGTGGAACTCCAATCGAAGGCTTGGCCATGGATGTCGCCACCGCCCTCATCAGATAAGGAAGAATCCAAGATCTGCAGCATCCTGGGCGCACTCCTTAACCAACGCCCCCACCGTACGCCCTGCGAGCGGATAGCGAGTCGCTCCGCTCCGAGGGGCGGGAGGCTGGCAAAGGCTCGGCGCGTGGACGCCTGGGGCGTGGGGAAGAGGATAGCGCGCCGCGCCGAAGCGTGCTGGGCCAGAACCCGCGCGGCGCGACACGCGGAGCCCAGAGGCCCCCGGCCGCATGCGCAGAAGGCGGGGCAGCGCAGAGGGTCCTCAAGCGCGGGCGGCAGATGGACGTGCGAAACTGCGATCAAGCATTGTCAAAGGCACAGTGCACGAGGGGGAGCAGGAGGAGGAGGAGGAGGAGAAGGAGGAGGACGAGGAGGAGGAGGAGGACGAGAAGGATGATGATGATGATGAGGAGGAGGAGGAGGAGGAGGAGAAGGTGGAGAGGACGAGGAGGAGGAGGAGAAGGAGGACGAGGACGAGGAGGCGGAGGAGGAGGACGAGGACGAGGAGGAGGAGGAGGAGTAGGAGAAGGAGGCGGAGGAGGAGAAGGAGAAGGAGGAGGAGGAGGAGGAGGAGGAGGAGGAGGAGGAGGAGGAGGAGAGGAGGAGGAGGAGGAGGAGGAGGAGGAGAGGAGGAGGAGGAGGAGGAGAAGGAGGTACTGCGTGCTGACGCGGCGATGGCGGCGCGAGCGGGCCCGAGTCGGCGGCGGCTGGCCGTCCCGTATCGGCGCGGCAAGGGCGTCACTGCAGCGGCGGCGGGCGCAGGGGCGCCGGCCGCCTGTTGGGCGGCGGCGCTCCGCGGGCGGCGGCACGCCGCGGGCGGATCGGGCGGATCGGGGGGGGCCGCTTCTCATCCGCCTCCTCCTCCTCCTCCTCCTCCTCCTCCTCGTCCTCCTCCTCCTCCTCTTCCTCCTGCTCCTCCTCCTTCTCCTGCTCCTCCTGGTCGTGCCTCCTCCTCGTTCTCGTCGTCACTCCTCCCTCCGCGCCCTTTTCCTTCTGCATCCAGCTCCATCCTTGCATCCGTCTCCCTCCGCCTGCCGCAGCCTGCCGCTGCCTCACTCCTCCCCCGTCCTCCCTCTTCACAAGTTTCCATCCCTGCGCTTCGGTTCTTCCAGCTCCTCCTCCTCCCCCTCCTCCTCCTCCTCCTCCTCCTCCTTCCTCCTGCCTCCTCATCATCATCATCCTCATCCTCTCATCGCCGTCATCATCATCCTCCTCCTCCTCCTCCTCCGCCTCCTCCGCCTCCTCTCTCCTCCTCCCCCTCCTCCTCCTCATCCTCCTCCTCCTCCTCCTCCTCCTCCTCTCCTCCTCCTCCTCCTCACTCCTCCTCCTCCTCATCCTCCTCCTCCTCCTCCTCCTCCTCCTCCTCCTCCTCCTCCTCCTCCTCCTCCTCCTCCTCCTCCTCCCCCCCTCTCCCTCGCCATCTCCTCCTCCTCCCTTCCCCTCTCCTCTCCTCCCTCCTCCTCCTCCTCCTTCCTCCTCCTCCTCCTCCTCCTCCTCCTCCTCCTCCTCCTCCTCCTCCCCCTCTCCTCGCCAGCCTCCTCCTCCCCTTCCCCTCTTCTCTCCTCCATCCTCTCCTCCTCCATCCTCCTCCTCCTCCTCCTCCTCCCCCTCCTCCTCCTCCTCCTGCCTCCTCCTCCTCCTCCTCCTCCGCCTCCTCCTCCTCCTCCTCCTCCTCCTCCTCCCTCCTCCTCCTCCTCCTCCTCCTCCTCCTCCTCCTCCTCCTCCTTCTCCAACTCCTCCTTGGCCCTCTTTCCCCTGCTCCCCCTCCTCGTTCCGCACCCTGCTCCCCCTCCACATCCAGCTCCCTGCTTGCACCCTTCTCCCTGCGTTGCCGCAGCCTGCCCATCCTCCCTTCTCACAGGTTTCAATCCCTGCGCTTCGTTTCCACCACCTCCTCCTCCTCATCATCATTATCCTCTTCCTCCTCCTCCTCCTCCTCCTCTTACTCCTCCTCCTCCTTCTCCTCCTTCTCCTCTTTCTGCTCCTCCTCTTCCTCCTCCTCCTCGTCCTTTCCTCTTCTCCTCTCCCCTCCTCTTCCTCCTCCTCCTCTCTCCTCTTCTCCCCATCCTCTCTGCTCCTCCTCCTCCTCCTCCTCCTCCTCCTCCTCCTCCTCCTCCTCCTCCTCCTCCTCCTCGGGTCGCCGACGGCCCCGGGGGTGTGCAGCCCCGGGGCGTTCACAGATAGATTCGGCTTGACAAATGACGCAGAATGGTGGGGTCAGGGGCTCCGGTCGTGACTTTTGCGGCGTTGCATTTTTTTTGCAACGGCGGATCTCAGGGTAGATGCATCCCTGGCCAAGCCAGGAGGGCAGATGCGCCGCTCCTGGGCCCAGGATGGGGCCAGGCCTGAGGCAGTGGATGTGTGCAGAGCTCGTTGCCATGCACATGGGAGGGGGGAGGCGGCGCGGGAGGGAGCAGGGCTTTCGGAGAACACGGGGGTCTCAGACGGCAGGTGCTCTTTTGGGAAGAAGGGATCGGGGGCCTCTGGGGATGCTTCTCGCGCAGACACCGGGACGGCTTCTAAGAGGCCACCTGCCTTCTTAGAAGCCCAGCCGCCGTCTTAGAAGGCCTTTCCCCTCACGCCGCCCCCCTGTGCGCACTGCCACCAAACGTAATCGCCGTTGGAGCACTCTTGGATCGGGTGGGGCTCGGGACAGACTCCTCCAGCGTCCCTTCCGTTCTACCCTGTGCTCCGCGCGTGTCGGGCTGAGGCGGGGCAAGGTATGTGTCTTCGTCGCCCTTCTCGCTTCCCCTCCTCGGGTTCGGTCGTCCACGCTTCACGTTGGTCCTCTCGAAGATGACTCGTTCAACGACCGAGACTGTGTGTTGGCGACGCGCGCAAAGGGGTGGCCCGATGGGGGCGGGGGGGGCTCTACAGGTTTCTTAGAATCCTTCCGAGCTTTAAGAAGCTTTCTTCGAAGCGTGCAGGCGCTTCGAAGCAGACACCTGCCTTCTAAGGAGTACCCCGCTTTCTCAAATGGCAGCCCCCTGCCGCCGCCGCTTGTGCACGATGCCATGTGGTGCATTCCAGACCATGCCTTCGAGGATTGAAGGAGTTGTCATCTCTTCCGTCGCGGAAGGCGGCAGAAGGGCCGCCGAAGTGAAAAAAACGGCCTCGAAGCCGGCGGAAGGGCGGCGGACTACGGCAGAAGTGAAAGATTTGCCCCCAAGAGATGGACGCATCTTTGGATCCAGGGTTTACGGGGATGAGGAGGAGGATGAGGATGATGAGGAGGAGGAGGAAGAGGAGGAAGAGGAGGGGCGAGGAGGGCAGGGGGAGGAAGGGGAACCAGCAGGAGGAGGAGGAGGAGGAGGAGGAGGAGGAGGACCCCCTGCGTCCTCCGTCGCTATTGTCCCCTGCTTACCCCCTACCCCGAAAAGAGCAAAAGGATACTTGCCCACCCCATCCACTGGCTTTTGGGTGGGCTGAGGGGGCGCTTTTGTTGGGAACAAAAAACCATACGACCACTCCACGGACACCTTTTCGGGACGCGATCCAACAAGGACTCCGAAACGAGTCCAGCCAAACGACGAGGTCTCTCGAGGGCGAACACCGGCATCAAGACATAATTGCCTCCCTTTTGACCCGAGGGCTGCTCAACTGACCACCTGCCCGCAACCTGGAGGCCTGGGGGAGGACCCCCCCCCGCGGCCCGCGCACACGCGGGGAGGATGGGGAGGGGAGGAGCGGGGAGGACCGGGAGGCACGAGCAGGATGCCGAAGAAGAATCGAAAGAGGACGAATTGAGTCATCGGCGAGTCAAGAAATCGAGCCCCGGACACCTCCCGGGGCCCAAACGCAGAAGTTGTCCGAGCTGCGACCAGCCGTGGCGACGCCCCCCCCCCTCCCAGAAAACCGCCTGCACAGTTGCCCAGCTCGGCCTCTCCAAGACTAGGAACGAAGAGCAACGAGGGGAACGGGAGTCTTGGGAACGTGCGCCAGCACCAACGTCAGGGGTTAAATCGCCCCTGGGGAAGATAATCTCGGACTGTGGCGTTGGTTGGTGGCAATCTGTCGGCCACCTGAGAAGCCCGAGTACCACCACCATCGCCGAGACCGGGATCATCTTCCCTCGATGGAGGCACCGCCTATATTGCTCGGTGTCGCGGTGGCAGCCCAGGCGACACGCAGTGCCTTGCGAGCGGATGGCGTGTCGTTCCGCTCCGCGGCGGGACACGCTGGGAAACGCTCGGGGCGTTGACGCTATGCACAAGAGCCCAACGGTACCACCATCACCGAGATCGGGATCATCTCCCTTCGGTGGAGGCACACCGCCGATCTTTGCGTTGGTGTCAAACTCTAGGCTTCCGAGAGGAGGAGGAACCGATATTCTGTATGTTGACATTCGCGGCCTCACCACATGAGACTCCAAGGCAATTGCTCCATGCACCTGTGGGAAATACATCGAGCTGCTTCCAACAACACAAACATGAGGAAACCACAAGGTACCGCTTCCGCCACTCCCCGGACCTCCCAGGGTGCGTTCTGACCAGGATGCCGAGGCGAAGCCAGCGGTGGCGACGAGGGCCTCCCAGGAGGCCCAACATGATAAAAACGAGGGAAGGGTACAGTGGAGGCCCGACCACAAGAAACCTTCCACAAGGAACCCAACCCTGAGACCCCAGGACGTCCATTGGTTGTTGGCGTGGAACGCCACGCTTTCCACAACAAAACCATCGAAACCCAAGGAACCCAGGGTACACTGGAGGCAAGCGGGGTGTTTCTTGGCATGGGTCTCCACTGTAGCGGTATTGGTACCTGTTCCTCCTCTGCGAACACGGCTCCACGCCGAGACCGAGACGAGGAGAAACCAAGATCGGCAGCGCGCGAGGGGCGGAAGTGCGAAGGAGAAGGCCCTCTCAGCGAAGGCCGCGGGACTTCTCAGAAGGCTTAGCGCCTTCTGAGAAGTTCTCTCCGCGTCTCCTGGGAAGGCTTAGATCGAAAACTTCGCAGGAGGCCACGGAACTTCCCAGCACTCTGAGAATAGCCTTAGGTCGGGCATGCCCCCCTACAGGCGGAGCTTGTAAGAAAAAAGAATAGCCAAACATGCTCAGCCATGGTCAAACATAGTCGAAAGATCGTTCCCAGACAATGTTTTGACTATTCTTGAGTATTCCTTCTGTAGAAGGAGGTGCCCGACTTGAGAATAAGTAATCTTCTTCTTCTAACTTCCCCCCCGTCGCTCGCCGCCGACAAGAGCAGGCAGAGGAGGGGCAACGAGCAGCATGAGCAGTCCGCGCACGCCAGGAGGATGGAGGAGGAAGAGGAGGATGAGGAGGATGGAGGGGGACGAGGAGGAAGAGGAGGATGAAGGAGGAGGAGAAGGAGGAAGAGGAGGAGGCTCGAGGAGGAGGAGGAGGAGTATGGAGCGTGGAGCACGGGAGATGGAGGATGGAGCACGGAGGATGGAGGATGGAAGAGGAGGAGGCTCGAGGAGGAGGAGGAAGGAGGATGGAGGAGGATTAGGAGGAGGAGGGAGGAGGGTCGAGGTCGAGGAGGAGGAGGAGGAGGAGGAGGAGGAGGAGGAGGAGGAGGAGGAAGAGGAGGATGCGCCCGCCTCCGGCTGCTCCCAGCAGGGCGGCAGCGTGCGCACCGTCGCCGAGCTGCTGCAGCTGCACCCGCCGCCCCGCAGCGGCCCTGCCCGTCGCTGCCAGGCCGCCGGGCGCCGCCGCCGCGGGGGCACAAAACGTACTCCTCCTCCTCCTCCTCCTCCTCCTCCTCCTCCTCCTCCTCCTCCGCCCCAGAGCAGGCAGACTGCTGAACACCGGGCTGCGTTCCAAGTTTGGAGGTTCCAAACTTCGAATCCGTTGTCCCATGCAAGTTCGCTGTAAGTGAGACCTGAAACAACTTATCGTTGTAGACTTGCCGTCGACGCGCGTTCGTATTCGCCGTCTCGACACGACGCAACCGATTCGTAACACGCGAACGGCTTGCTCAGGGGAGCCAAGAACCGACACACCGAGACGAAGCCACCCTTAAACCACGAAAGCAAACCTTCACCTGCCATCCGCAGCGCCCAAACCACCCTTGGCGGTGAAGTGGTCCCCTTATCCGCAGATGTGCCGAACCCACCTCCCAGCCACTTGCAACCAGTACGAACAAAATATGACGCCAGCGAACTCACGAAGTACGAGTGTGAAAACGCGAGATCGGCTGCTTCTGGCGGCTGCTTTTCGCAGCGGCCGCTCAGGACCCTCCTCCCCAGCCTGCTGGCGCGACCGGCGGGGGCAGGTCGACTAAGCACCGGCCCAGGCCCAGGCCTCCCCCCCCCTCCTCCTCCTCCTCCTCCTCCTCCTCCTCCTCCTCCTCCTCCTCCTCCTCCTCCTCCTCCTCCTCCTCCTCCTCCTCCTCCTCCTCCTCCTCCTCCTCCTCCTCCTCCTCCTCCTCCTCCTCCTCCTCCTCCTCCCCTCCTCCTCCTCCTCCTCCTCCTTCCTCCTCCTCCTCCTCCCCTCCTCCTCCTCCTCCTCCTCCTCCTCCTCCTCACGTTGCCCTAAACTAGAGGCCTCCCAGATGGGGTCGGAGTAGATGGAGTCGGAGGATGCGCCCAGCGATGCACCGGCGACGTCGGCGGTGCGCCGGCGACGTCGGCGGTGCATCGGCGACGTCGCCGTGAAGCAGATCGGGGTGCACGTCGAGCCGCAATCTGCGATGCATCGGGGATGCGACGCGATCCTCCGACCCCCCCTCATTTACCCCGACCCAATCTGGAAGGCACAGGTAAGAGCAAGTGTCGTCAACAGCAGCCCACCTTTCACACCAACGGCCCCCTCGTAGGACAAGGTCGACTCCTTCCTCGTGCTAGGGAGGCCTCACGGAATCGGGAGCAGGTGCGATTCCAGGTCGACGCCCACGGATCTCCGAAGATCTGAACTTTGCGATCTGGGCGCTTGTTCCTCAACTTCGGCTTTCCTGGCCAGGTACCGGTCCCCCAAGACCATCAACACCGGACCCGGGGCGAAAGGCTACCCTGAGGTCGGGCGTGTCCTCCTACAGGCGCATTCTGGCGGGCAAATCCAGAATTGCCGGAAAAGAGGCAACAGATTCGAAGGTGGTCAGGGAATCGAGAAGTCGTCCCCAGAGCAATTGTTTAAAACTATGTTTCAAGAATCCTCCTGTAGAGTTCAGTCGAAAACTATTCTTCAATAGTCCTCCTGTAGAATTAAATCGGGCCTGTCCCCATACAGGCCCATCTTCTAGGAAAAATGGAAAATCGTCAAACCATGCTCAAGCATTGCAAAAACATGCTCAAAAAACAGAATCCCCCGACAATTTGTTTAATACTACTTTTGAATCGTCCCCCTGTCGAGGGACACGCCCGCCTTACCTGCAGAGAGGGGGGACGTGCCCGACTCTTCAGGCTCCCCCCCCGGCACTGGGTCGGGACCTCCGGTGCCGCGCACGGGTAAAAAAAATCGCCTCGGCGGCCCTGCCGCCCCCCCCCTCGGGCCTGTCGGAACCGCCGCTGCCGGGCAGTGAACCATCAAGGCTTACGTCGGGCGTGTCCCCCCACAGGCAGATTTTGGAGGGAAACCACAATTAAAAACAATCAAAAATGGTCAAAGGATGCTCAAAACATATGTTGAATACTCCTCATGTAAAGGGACACGCCCGACTTAAACCAAGTCGCACGTGTCCATTTTTCGGCCGCTGGGGGCCTTCCAGGCCTCAAGAGATCGGGGGCGTCCAAGATGGGGGCGTCCCAGAGAGAGCGGGCCGCACGTCATGGCCGGCGGCACTTGCGCGGCCCAGGGGGAGGAGGCCGGGGACGTACTGAAAGAAGAGCAAGCGCCATGAAAGCGGGGGCGATACCATGGCCCTCGCCATGGTATCCCCCCCCCTAGTCAGCCCCCCCTCGTCGCCGCCCCCGAAAAGATCATCCAACAACGGCCGGGCATGAGAAACCGACCGACCCCGGGGAAAGGGTCGGGACTTCTGGGGACCGCGCATGGAACCGATCTCGACATCGGATGTCTGGGGTCGTCGTCGTAATCAGCCGCGCCTTGGCCACCACTCGCATCGTTGGACGCCGCCGTCGTCGGCCGCGCCTCGACCACCTCTCGCGCCGTCGGACGTCGCCATCGTCGGAGGCTTCCGGAACCTCAGGAGGCCGACGGACTTTTGCTGGCAAACCTGATTGGACAAACACGGGAAGCGCCGATGTTGTTTACTGGGCTCGTGGAGTGGGAGGAAGCGACGGATGATGGCGACGGCAAGTCGGCGGATGACGAGAATGACAGCGTGGATGACTGGGAGGGAGGCGAGGGAAGCAGGATGATAACAATGAAGAGGAAAAGCACACGACGAGGAGGAATACAGAGGACGAGCACGAGAAGGAATGAAGCGGAGGTGGAGGAAGACGAGGAAGACGACGAACGAGGACGGTACGGAACACAAGAAAAAAGACGTCGAAGAATTGCGGGGAGCATCGTGATTTATTGAAACTACCCTGGTGGCTGTTGGGGCCACCTGGTGCTATCTTGGGGCATCCAAGGGACCTCTGCGGGGCCTTCCTAAGGTCCTTTGGGTGGCTTGCGGAGTCTTCTTGGGCTGCCTGCGCGTGTGGGAACTGCGGTGGCTTTCTTAGGCCGTCTTGGTGCAGCTTGGCTGCCCTGGGGCTCTCTTGGGCCGTCTAGGGGGCCTCCTGGGGCACTCTCGGGGGCTTCTCGGGGTCCTCGCTGGGTCCTCCGAGGGGGCCTTTTGAAGCTCTTTTGGGCCACGGTGGGCCCCTCTCCAAGACGATTTAACCAGAGCACCCTGCGACACCATTTGCGTGGGGAGATCCCAAGCGGAATCGCCATTTCAGAGAAGTCTGACCAGACAATGACGAGAAGCGTCGCTTTTGTACACAGACCTTGTCAAAGAACGCCCTGCTGAGGACGCTAAGGAAACTCGGAAACGAAGCACAGACGACCAACAGAACTGCTGGCGATGCATTGTGTTAGTCTGCAGTGTTCCATTAGTCTGCCGTGCCCCTGGGGCCTGCCGTGGTCCTGTGGTCTGCCATGCTCTTACGTTCGGCCGTGCTGTTGTGGTCTGCCGTGCTGATCTGCCGCGCTGGCATGGCATGATATGGCGGGGCCTTAAAGGCAGAGGAAAAGAGGAGAGGAGATGGACATTGGCCCACCTCCCGTGGGACCCAAGACGGCCTTAGAAGGCCCTTCGACGGCCCTGTGGCGGCGCCAAGACGGCCCTCGACGCCCACCACTCAGCCAGGAGGGCCCCACGACGGCCAAAGAGAGTCCCAAACCGGAGTAAGAGAGCCCCAAGACGGCCGAACAGGGCCCAAAGGGACCCTCAAGACTGCCTCACAGGAGGCCTAGACATCCCAAAGACGGTCTAAACGAATTTCATCATGTTCATCATCACCATCACCACCACCACCACCACCACCACCATCATCATCATCATCATCATCATCATCATCATCATCATCATCATCATCATCATCATCATCATCATCATCATCATCATCATTATCATTATCATTATCATTATCATCATCATCCTTACCACCATCATCATCAGCATCATCATCACCATTATCAGCATCAGCATGGTCACCCTCATGTTCAGATTCGTCGTAATCAGCATCAGCATCAGCATCAGCACCAGCACCAGCAACAGCATGATGATGATCATCATCATCATGATCAACATCGTCATCCTCCTCACTCTCATCCTCATAATCATCATCGTCATCACCGTCCCCATCCACATCCTCATCTCCATTGCCATCATCATGATCACCACAATCAGCATCACCAGCAGCATCGGCAACCAACTGATCACCATCACCATCACCATCACCAGCATCATCAACATCATCCTCATCATAACAAGAATCAGCGTCAGCATCATCGTCATCATCACCATCATCACCAATCATCATCGTCAAACTCATCATCAACAGCATCATAATTATCAGCAGCGTCACCATCATCGTCAACATCATCATGAGCATCATTACCAACAGCAACATCATCACCAGCAGCAACACCATCGCAACCGCCGATCTGCATCACTATCACCGGCATTAGCACCATCAGCAGCACCGTAGTCATCATCAGCATCACCATCGTTATCATCATAGTAATCCGCATCATCGTTAGCATCCTCGTCATCAACATCCGCATCGCCATCATAAGGATCACTCTCATCATACTCATCAGCATCATCATCAGCATCATCATCAGCATCACCTACTTGATCATCATCATCAGCACAATCAACATCAGCATCATCATCATCAGCATTATCGGCATCGTCATTATCATCATCATCATCAGCATCATCAACATCTCTAAGGAAGACGTGCCAGCATCAGCACCATCACCATCATCATCATCATCATCATCATCATCATCATCAACATCAACATCATCATCAACATCATCATCATCATCATCAACAGCACCGGCATCAGCACCATCATCGGCATGGTCATCATCATCACCCGCATCATCATCATCATCATCATCATCATCAGCATACTCCTAATCATCCTCATCATCTTCTTCATCATCACCATGTTCACAATCATCATCAACATCAGCATCATCACCATCATCATCATCATCATCATCATCATCATTCTCATCATCAGAATCAGCACCGTCATCAGCGTCGTCGACTTCATCTACATTATCAGTATCATCATCAGCAGCATCAGCAGCATCATCATCATCGTCGTCGTCGTGGTCGTCGTCATCATCATCCTAATCATACGCACCATCCTCATTACGGCTCTCACACGCCTGGAGACACGAGGTGTCACACGTGACGACCTCCTGTGCCCCCTAGATAATTCGCTACCCAGAATCCTGGGCTGGTACTTGCCGCAGGCGGCTGGATGTTCAATAGTTGCCTGAAGAGTGCTGGGTGATTCGGGGGTAGAGGGTAGCGACGCGCGCTGCTGCGCCACGCCACAAGCGGGGACTCACCAAGCGCCGTCTAGAGGAAGGCGGAGGAGGAGAGAGGAGGGGGGCGAGGAGGAGGGGAGGAGCGGGGAGAGGCGCCAAGACAGTCGCCAATTGGAAGCCACCCAACCGAGCCAGTACGGCAACCAGTGACTGAACGACCCAAGAGGGCGCCCGTCTTGGATACCCTCTCTGCAGGAACCGCTTCAAAGTACACACTACCTGTCCCTCTGCCGCACAAGCCCGCGGGCGTCCACGAATACCCTGGGACAGGGACGCGGTTCGCGTGTCCCGCCGAAGCGTGGTGGGCCAGAACTGGCGGCGCGACAAGCTGAGCAAACGTTCCTGACTATAGGAGGAGAACCGCGGAGGTTTCTATGGGATTCTGTCGACGCTGTAGGTGATGTAGCCGAATCCCTTACCACGAAACTCCAGGGGGGTGCACTCCTCGACGAACATCGCCCCGTCGCACACTGGAGATAAAACGTCAGTGACCGCGTTCGACGGCTAGGGCGCTTGCCCTGGCGGATCCTTACCAGGTTCTCGCCAGAAGACCAACAGCGGAGGTGGAGGAGGGATACGGACCAAAAAAGGACCCCTGACCCTTTCGGAGGGAACCTGAGTTAGGAGAACCAGGAACATTAGGGATACGGGATATGGGGTCTTCCCTGCAGGTGTATCGAACCAAACCGCCCCGAAGCATTATCCCTGATGCGAAGACGGGGGCCTCAGTGAGGCTGCGCCTTCATCGTGTTATGAGGATAAGAAGATCTTTGATCCCCAATGAGAAAGAGGGCCCACTCCAGTGCTACATCGTCATTGTCATGAAACTGCCAGCTTCCCCACTAAGGGGAAAAGGATTCGACCAAAATGAGCGCCGGCCAGGACGAGGCAGGGAAGCAACTTGCACCCCGGCTTCTGTGCCCCTGGGCAACTGGAGATCGCAAAGAACGCAAGCATGACCTCCATAAGTGCAAACAATATATATATATATATGTATATATATATATATATATATATATATATATATATAAGAAAACACAGCCTGCACCGATCGTCCTAGAATCCGCTCTGCCAGTCATCACATCGAGAACCCCCAGAGCTCAGCCCAGGGAGGAGGCTCAGCCCAGAGCCCACAACCCCCGTGCCCCCGCGGCCGCAGCCCCGCCCGCCTGTCCCGAGCGGCGGCGGCGGCGGGCACTGCGCCAGGTCGGCCACCCTGCGGCGCGCGCGCTGTGGCCCTGGCCTCTCCCTCTCCCCTCCTCCTCCTCCTCCTCCTGCTCCTCCTCCTCCTCCTCCTCCTTTTCCTCCTCCTTTTCCTCCTTTTCCTCCTTCTCCCCCCTCCTCCCCCTTCTCCTTCTCCTCCTCCTCCTCCTCCTCCTCCTCCTCCTCCTCCTCCTCCTCCTCCTCTTGGCCCTCCTCCTCCCCCTCGCTCCTCCGGCCGCCCCGGGGAGCGCCGCCAGGGCCTGGAGAGGTGCGCCGCGTTGGGGAACGCCGTGGCGCTGGACGACAGCGACGCCAGCGAGTCCTGCCGGGCGACCTGCGGGCCAGCTCTCCGCCGCCCCGGCGTTACGATTAGCAATACAAGACCCCCCAGCTCTTTGGAAGGCGACCTAGGCTAGGAGGCAAAAAACTGTAGGGATAGGAGCTCTGTTCTGCACGTGTATCAAAACAAACCACCCAGATTGATTGTCCCTCATGCAAAGAAAGGGGGCCTCAGTGAGGCCACGTCTTCGTTATGTGATTTGGATTAGGTGCACTTGTATCATGGATGATATTGAGTTGCATATTTGGGGGACCTCGTCTGTCCCATCGCGCCATCCATCCGTGTCGCATTTATGTCGAGCGCCGTCGAATCCGTCTGGAGTCAGTGCCGAATCCACGCCAAATCCGCGTCGAGTCCGCATCGGGTCCGCGTCGGGCGCAAGAGCAGACACCAATCTTAGGGACAGACGAGGTCCCCAAAGGCCTCAGAAGAGCCCCCAGAAGAGACAACGAAAACTCCCTCCCAGGTCCTCGAAGCTCGAACACTACATCGTTCCCGACGTCATGACTTGTCTCTTCACCGGGAAGTCTCGCTATCGGTCGCTTTGTGAAGGCCCTGGGCCCGGCGCGGGCACCCGCAGGCCGAAAACCTTGCGAAAAATCCTCCACCAGAAGTTGCTTCTTGACGCGATGGAGTCTGGGTTGAAAGTAGAAGAAGATAACAACTGTATCAACTTAAACTTCTGGCGCTCCGCGCGGAATTCTTGGATCTGCGAGCGCGCCAGGGGCGGCGCCGGAGGCGCCGCCCGAGGGAGCCGCAGCGCGGATCCAAGAAACTCGCGCGGCGCGCCAACAAGTTATGGTTATGCAATGTTTCCTGTTTCGAGGGTTGGAGTGCGTGTCCATCCTGGACGGCCAGCACGACCCCGAACGTCGGCGGCGTGCCGGGCACCTCCTCCTGCTCCTCCTCCTCCTCCTCCCTCTGCTCCACCTCCTCCTCCTCCCTCTGCTCCACCTCCTCCTCCTCCCTCTCCTCCTCCTCCTCCTCCTCCTCCTCCTCCTCCTCCTCCTCCGACTGGCCCGGCCTGGACGGCCGGCACGACGCCGAACGTCGGCGGCGTGCCGGGCACCGGCGCCCAGACGACGCCCGCGGGCGCGGCGCCGCAGCCGCGGAGGCCCTGCTCCGGGCTGCTGCACTCCTCGTCGGTGTCGGGCTCGTCCTCGCCGCGTCGCGGCGGCAAGGCTCGGGTCGGGCACATCCTCCTACAGGCGGGCTTTTGGAAAAGAAATAAGACAGGTTCAACAAATGTTCGAACACTGTCAAAGAGTAAAGCAATCGTCCTCGGGCGATGTTTGGCTATAAGCAATATTTGCATACTCCTCCTCTATAAAGGGACATGCCCGACTTTAGGCAAGGCTCGCTGAAAAGGTAGGCGATAGGGGTTGACATGGGCGCTCGGCCGTTACACTTGACAGGCAAAACGACCCACCCACAGTGCACTTCGAGTGAACGTGCAACACTCCAACCAGGAATCAGAGCCAACGCTTCCCAGACCCATCCACACGGTGTAAATGCCGTTTTCGGGGCGCGGCCCGAACATGCACCCTCCAGCGAACCCCAAGTTGGCCACAACAGCTACCCCAAACGAACTCTAAAGAAGGGTGTCGATGAGTCGATGAGCAAACGCATGCCCATCCCAAGATAAAAGGGTTATAAATGGATGCCGAGGTCGGTGATCTATGAAAAGCCCTGGAAGCGACGGGACCACTTCTTTGCAATTTCAGGTGTTCCGTTTATTTGCTGGTTCCGTCGCCGTTTTGTTTCCCAATTCTGGGATGTCAATCCCAGAACCATCTATTGTAATGTTCGATCGCCGTGTGTTTTACTGTTTCCATTTTTAATGAAACTCGTTTTCGGATACGGTGAAAAAACTGCCCTGCCGCTTCCGAGTCCAACTAAGGCACTAAGGGTGATATCTGGTCGTACATAGCCTACATGAGAGACGCGGACAAACAGACATTACGCGAGAAGAAATAGCGAGCGACCTTACGTGGTGGCTTACGCGGGCCCGCGCGACACAGCACGTTGGAAACGAGGTCTTACGCGACTCTACGCGGGCAGCTTGCGCGCCAATGCCGGTTAAGACGACCAAGATGTTCGACGTCGCTCACGTGGGTTGCAAGAGCCCTCTGAGTGGCTTAAGGGGGTAGAGATCCAGGCTAAGTGCTCCGCCCACTTAGTGGAGTTGTCGAACCCATCCAAGCCACTCGGGGCACTTGGAACCCACTTCGAAGCTCGATTCGGCCATAGATAACATTCCGTAACATCCCCCTGTAGGCCCCCTACGTACCCACTTGAAAACTACCGCGGTGATTCAAGCACGTCCTCAGGCCTCCACACCAACCCAGACCCCCTTGCGTCGAAGACAAAAACACTGCTCTGCAGAAGTGGCCCTGGCCGGGCACTGGAGCTGTCACAAACAGAGAAATCCCAGGGTGAGCAACCTGTCCAAGGGAATGGGTCGAGACCTCCATGTGAACGAAAATTGTGTCGTGGGGAGTCTGTGAACGAACGATGTTCGAGCTTCGAGGACCTGGGAAGGAATTCTCGTTTTCCCCAAGATGGTCTCGGGATGCTTTCTGGCAGCTGTGCATCGCTGAGAGCTGTTTGGGGGCGCGCAGACAAAGCCTAACAATTCGCCTAGCGACGATGGTCGAGAGTCGAGATACCCAGACCCCCGACGTCATGACTTTTCCATAACACGACCCCCAGCGGCCCAGACCCATTCCCCGGGACCGGCTCTTCATCCTGAGTCTTTTGTTGACAGTCCCGAGGCCCGGTGAGGGCCCCCAGAGGCCGAAAACGGTGAAAAATCATCCGTCGCTGTTTTTTTCACAACGCGAGGGGGTCTGGGTAGTTGCCACGGCTGGATCCGCCTCGAGATCCTGGTCGGGACGTGCGCACCTCGGGATCATTCCGCGGGAGGTGGGGGCGAAGTCCGAAGTCTGGAACCCAGACCTCCAGCGCTCTGGATCGAAGGCGGCGCGGCGGTCTTTCGCCGGCTTGGGCCTCTGGGGGCCCTCGCGGGGCCCCGCGGGGCCGTCAGCACACCTCTCGGGATGGCACGCCTGCCCTGGGGAGAGGGCCGGGACCTCCGGGGACCTCTGCTTCAGGACGGGAACGCTGTCACGATGCGATGGGCTCGAGACACGTGCCAGGGACTCTGGCGTAGCTCGCGGCCCTCGTCCCCAGGGCCAGTGCGGAACAACAAGCACTCTGGAAACCTTGGAAATCCGATCAGTCTAGAACATACCCTTATCATGCCCCATTGCTCCCCTGAGATCCAACGGCGCGAGCAAAAATACAATACCGTGCAAAAACGCGGCCCGAGCCTTAGACCCCATCTTTCCGCTGCATTCTTCGAGCCTGATCGATCCGTGAGGGTCCTGGGGCGCAAAATTGTACGAAATCGCCTGGCTCGAGCAAATTGCGATTCCAAGATCTCAAGGTCCTCTGAATTTGTTGTGAAAGAGAAAATAAAATAGGATCTCTGGGCGGCGACGTCGGCGTCGACGTCGCCGACGACGATGGTCTCGAGGTCGCCGAGGCTATCGTCGTCGCCGCCGCCGCGGTCGGCGGGGCCTTCGCCGCCGTCGACGACGGCGTCGACCATGTCTTCTACTTCGTCGTCGTCGCCGCCGCCGCCACCGCCGAAGCCACCGTCGTAGCTGTGGTCGCAATCGTCATGGCCGTGGTCGCAGTCGTGGTCGTGGTCGTGGTCGTCGTGGTCATGCTTGTCGTCGTCCTTGTCGTGGTCATGGTTGTCGTTGACTTCGTCGCCGTCGTCGTGGTCGTCGTCGTCGTGGTCGTGGTCGTGGTCATGGTCGTGGTCGTAATCGTCGTCGTATCCGTCGTCGTCGTCGTCGACGACTTCGTGTCCGTCGTGGTGGTCGTTGCCGTCGTCGTGGTCGACGTCGACGTCGGCGGCAACGTGGTCCAAGCGGTCGTCGTTCTTGGCCCGGCAGGACCGAACGCTCCCTGCCTCAGGGTTTTGGCAGCCCCCGTGAGGGTCCGATCGGGAATCTTCTGACCCACGTCAATCCAGACCAGGGTCAGTCAGGCCTTGCAGGATCTTGCAAGATCCTGCAAGATCCTGCAGGATCCTGCACCCAAACCGGGGTCAGTGCACCCTTGGCCCTGCAGGATCCTGCAAGATCTGGCGCTCTGACTCGAACCCGCTTGCATTGACCCCCGTCTCCTGAGCCCCGACCCGAGAGGCCAGCGGGCACACCGGGAAAGCATTCGGGCATCTCGAAACTGGGAGGGGAAATGCGGTATCGGGCACCGGACACGAGAGACGTTGCGTTGGCTCCAGGGCGTATGCCCGAGGACTGGGAGGGGCCGAGGGGGGAGGGAGGGATGGAAGGCGGAGGAGGTAGGAGGAGGAGGAGGAGGAGAAGGAGGAGGTGAAGGAGGAGAAAGGAGAGGAGGAGGAGGAGGAGAAGGAGGAGGAAGAGGAGGAGGAGGAGGAGGATAATGAGAGTGAGAAGGAGGAGCAGGAGGAGGAGGGGAAGGAGGAGGAAAATCAGGAGAAAGAGGAGACAGAGGAGGAGGCGAAAGAGGAGGAGGAGGCGGAGAAGGAGGAGAAGGAGGAGGAGGAGAGGTAGGAGGGGAGAAGGAGAAGGAGGAGGAGGAGGAGGAAAAGGAAAATGAAAATGAGGAGGAGAAAGGAGGAGGAAGGGGGGAGGAGGAGGAGGACGAGGAGGAGGAGGAGGAGGAGGAGGAGGAGGAGGAGGATCTGATCGGATCTCACACCTTCAGTGCCAACGTGTCTCTTCAATTGTTCGAGAGTGCTCTTACTCACCATCGCTGCACTCCAAAAGCGCTAACCTGTCAGGCTTTTCAAGGTCTTGAGGTCGGCTCTGGCGCGGTGAACCCTGCTCTTTGGGAGGAGAGTGCGCATGCCATGCTCTACGAACCAGGGCCGCGGCTATGTCCTCGTGACGGAGCCAGCCTGGCCCCTGAAGCCACCGACGCATGAGGTAGCCACAGGGGACGAAAATTTAAGATCAAGTGGCCTTCTCCTGAGCCAATCGAGGAACATATGTACTGTTGAAGAATTTGTCATGCTGATGGGTCCCTGGGAAAATCCCGCGGGAGACCAAAAACTCAGAAACAGGATGCGCATTCGTGGGGGGGGGGGTCGGAGGCCTCGGAGGAGAAGGGGGAGGTCCAAGACAGGTGACTTCAGAAGAGCGCGGGCTCAGAGCGGAGGGGAGGTGCGGAGGATTCGGAGGAGGGGGAGACTGAACAGGGCTAGTGGCATTCTAGGAGGAGGAGGAGGAGGAGGAGGAGGAGGAGGAGGAGGAGGAGGAGGAGTAGGAGAAGAGGGATAACAATAAGGATGGTATCCCTCAAAGCATGAGGCCCATACCGCACGATGTGGCGGCGGAGCGCCCGTCTCCGTGCGAAGCGGGACCCGTCGCCTTTCCACCCGCCTTGGATCCCTGTCTGCACCTCCCCAACGACATCTAGGTCGGGTTCGGGGCTTGCTCAGGGGTGGAGACAACTTAACCTGCATCGTGCGTCGCTTACTTGGGGGGGCGGTACATCAGGGGGGAAGAAGGGTGCACTTTTCGGGCAGAGGCTCCCTTGTGGGGCCATCCCCTTTTCTGCAGCCCTCGCTGCCACCCTCACTTATCGCCCCCCCCCTTACGCGACGCCCAACTGGATCGGGCATTACTGACACGGGTCAATGCAAACCTGGGCCAATGAGGCGTTACAGGCTCCCGCAGGATCCTGCAGGATCCTGCACGCAAGCCAGGGGGTCAGTGCACCCCTGGTCCTGCAGGATCCTGCACGATCCTGGGCTCTGGCTGACCCCCGCTTGCATCGACCCCCGTGCCAAGGCTCCCGACTGGAATCGGCGATTCCTCGCCGGCAGATCTGGGACTTATCGAGACATACTAGTACAAAATGTCCTCCTAGGAGGCGCGCGTCCGACCCGAACATACAATAGACCCATCTTGTAGTATGTCGTAACCCGAGCGGTGTGGCCAGAAAGCGCCCGCCACGACGCATCTACCATACGATTGCTCGGTGCGAGCGTCGCCCCTGGGGGGGGGGGACGCACACACAGTATTAGTATGCTGTGGTGACGCCAACGACCGTCGAAATTGCCCCCGAAGGTGAAGGCACACGCTCCTGGGGCGGGGCAGGGGGCCCCCAGTGCCCAGTCGGCGGTGAATGGGTGACTCGGGGGTCGATGCTTGACCCCCCCCCAGTCCCAGACCCCCAGACCCCCTCGCGTCGTGAAAGACTCACGACGGGAAATGTTTAGCTATTTTTGGTATCTGGGGCCCTTCACTGGGCTTCGGGACCGTCAAAAAACGACTCAGGATAAAACACGGGTCCCGGGGATGGATTCGGGACTTCTGGGGTCGCGTTATGAGAAAACCATGACGTCGGGGTCTGGGGCCCCCCCATGTCGTTGCCCCTCACGGAGGCCTCTAAAATCTGGCTGCTAACAGGACTGGGGGGTCGCACTTGGATGCCAAGGTGGCGCATGTTTGGCTTGACACAGCTCATGAGTGGGTTTTGAAGTGCATGTCTGGCTTAGGGTGCTGAGGACTTGGGCCGAGCGGGCGTTTTTCCCACTCAGCGGAACTGGTGAACCAACCCGGGCCACTTGGGGCGATTGTGGGTCGATGCTTCCCCCCCCGGGCCAGTCCCCCCCTGTCGTCGCCCTTCGTGGAGGCCTCCCAAGTGAGGCTGGGGCAGTACGGGTGCTGCCAGGTGTCCCTGGTCCACGGCAAGCCCAGGATTCCGAATTTCCAGGGGGACCCAGGCGGCGTCCAGAGCACCCCTCACGAGGCCCAGAGGGCCCCGGGGGCCCGCACGACGGGAGGATGGCATCGCATCGCCGACGGCGGTGCACCGTCGACGCCCGTGGCGACGTCAGGACCGACAGAGCCCAACCCCGGATGGCGTCGCATCGCCGACGCATCAGCGGTGCGGCACGAGCGACACGGAGCCCTTCAAACAACCCCCCTCTGCGGCTTCTTGGAGCTCCTGGGGGCCTCTGGAGAACACCTCGACGATTCTCAGAAAGTGCGCTAACTAGCGCCAAGGTATGCCTGCCACCAGAGGCCCAAGGGACCCCCAAGAGGGCCGTAAGAGGGCCCCACAATCCCTCAACGAGCCCCAAGAGGACCCCAAGATCCCCCCAATGGGTCCCAAGAGGGCTCCAAGAGGCGATTTTGAGAGCTCTGTCCTCGTCCTCGTTGTCCTCCTCCACCTCAACCTCCTCCTCCTCCTCCTCCTCCTCCTCCTCCTCCTCCTCCTGCTCCTGCTCCTCCTCCTCCTCGTCCTTGCCTCATCACTTTCCTTGTTCATTTTCTCCTCTTCATCGTCTTCATGGTCGTCGTCGTCGTCCTCCTCCTCCTCCTCCTGCTCCTGCTCCTCCTCGTCCTCCTCCTCCTCCTCGTCCTTCCCTTGCCGCCACGCCCTCTCAACATGACGCAGGCGGCGTGACTAGGGCCAACACAGGCTGCGTGTCACCGGCTGGACAGCACGGGGTAAAGGCGCGCTGGGCGGCGGCGGGTGGAGAGGGCTCCGACTGAGAGCGCACGGGCGCCCGCGGGGCCGCTCCCAGGAGCGGAATCGCACCTGATACTGTCGGCCGCTGTGCTGACGTGTGGAAGCCTCCCGAAGTTAGCGCATCGCGGACAGTCTTCTGGCTTGCGTCGCGACTCTCGGCGGGTCGGGCGAAGACTTTTTGTCGGCAGCGCTGGCGGACGCAAGCGCGACTGCAGGGCCGGCGGGACGCCGCGGGCGCTGGGCGCGCTACAGTAGAAGCAAGACACCTTCCACAAGAAACCCAACCCTGAGACCCCCAGGACGTACCTTGATTTCTGGTGTTGGAACGTCACGCTTCGCAAAGAAAAACCATCGACATCCAAGAAACCCAGGGCACCCTGGAGGCAAGCAGGGTGTTTCTTGGCATGGGTTTCCGCTGTAACAGACCACACATGGCGTTTACAAGCGCTTTCGCGAATTCGGCTCGGTCACCTCCATGGCGACGACGGTGGAGCTTATTCTTGACTGGCATCGCCTCGCGCTGGCGTCCTATGAGACCACCGTTTGCACATGGAACTGTCTAGGCCGACCGGCCGACCTGAACGGGCTTCCCCGGTCAAAAGCAATGGGTTTCCACTGTAGAGTGGATGGACAGCGGAGGCGGAGGGGAACGAGGAGGAGGAGGCGGAGGAGGAGGAGGAGGAGAAGAAGGAGGAGAGAGGAGAGGAGAGGAGAGGAGAGGAGAGGAGAGGAGAGGAGAGGAGAGGAGAGGAGAGGAGAGGAGAGAGAAAAGAGGGGGGAGGAGAGGCGAGGAGAGGAGAGGAGAGGCGAAGAGGAGGAGAAGGAGGAGGAGGAGGAGGAGGACGGCCGCGACCCTCACAGATCGATCCGGCTCGAAACATGACGCAGGAAGATCGGGGTCCGGGGCTCTGGTCGGGATTTTTGGCGATCTTGCATTTTTGTTTGCAACGTCGGATCTGAAGTAGGGACGGTTGCCCCCGAACGACGGCGCAGGCGTACCGACGGGCGCGGGGGCGTGGGAGCGGCCTGCGGGGGGCTCCTGGAAGGCTCGTAGGGAAGGCCCGTGGGCAGGGCTGCTCAGAACAGAAGGCAGGACACTAAGAGGAAACAAGGACGAGGATAACATCGGGTGAAGAGAAGTCGGGAATCTCTGAGATCCGGCGGCTCTGGAGGATTTCTCGGGCCCCGCGACCTTTCAAGAGCATTCCGGAAACGCTCTGAGAGAGTTCCGGAACGCTCTGGAACGGATGTTTCCGCGTCCCAATCCTGCCCGAGATATGGTTAGGAGCTCCGGCTAAGCCTGTCGCTCCGCTGGTTCCCACCCCGCTTGGGCGCGACGCGCTGTCCATGCCATGGTCCCCAAATGTCAACGCCCCGAGCCTTCCCCCGCCCCCCGGACACGCTATCCTCGGCTACACGCAAGAGTAAGAGCGACCCTGGGCGAGAATGACCTCTGGTGCGCAGCTTTCGGGGGCCGCGGGGACGCCAAGTACAAGCGGGCAGGCCTGTGCTGGGGGGGCCCCTGTGGGCCCGCACCAAGGCCACTCCGGCGAAAAGCCACTTTTTCGCGTAGCCGAGATCCGCTCGCAAGGCACCGCGCGTCGCCGGGGCCGCCGCTGCGACACGCTGCGCCAAGGCTCCCCCCCGCAGCCTCCGAGCGGCCTTCGCAGAGACTCGCCCGGGGCCCACGCCCAAGAAGGTGCGGGAGGGGAGCCCCCCTCTGCCGGTCCCCCGTGATCCTTCTCTCCGCTCGCGCAAAATATGCCCACACGCGCGCACCCGCCGTCACTGAGGGTTGACGATGATAACGTCCACGGCTGAAAGGTTGACGATGATAACGTCCACGGAGACCTGAATACAGAGAGAGACTCCATTCCACAGCCAGAGGTTCTGCAGCAAAAGGGGATGCACTTCCGTCCACAGGTTCGCAACAATTCCCGCGCAGAGCCACTGCAGGAAAATGTCGATATTCCTTTCGCCAGCCTGTCCTCCCGAATCTTCCACGTTGTTCACTGTTCGCTGCAGCAAACAAGTAATTGTTGACGGTGCCGCCCACAACTGCCCTGTAATCCGCCGGGCCCCCCCCGCTTGCCAGGATGAGAAGGCACGTGAGATGATCTGCTGTCCCCCATCACCCTGTTCCCCGCCCACTGGATCTCCAGCGCGCACCCCGGGGGTTCTCTGGAGCCTCCGGAGAGCTCCAAAACGGCTCATTGAGCGCCGAGACAGTAGCGTCGAGACAGCCAAGGGTAAAGCCGCGATCGTCCAAGATGGCTTCCAGACGGCCTACGAGGCTTCCAAGACGGCCCGAGTGCTCCCAGAGGGCCGCCGAGAGGACCCCAAGAGGCAAACGTCTCGCCCCATTCCCTTCGGAAAACGCGCATGTTCAATATGCGCGCCTTTTTCGTCTTGGCACCTCTCACTGCGGCCAAAGGAGCTCCCAAGATCGCCCCAAGACTGCCCATGAGGACCCCCCCCAAGCCTGCCTAACAGAACCCCTAGAGGGTTCAAGAAGGCCCCAATGCCGCCGCATGGGCCCCTGAGACGGCCCAGGAGGGCCCCATTAGGGACAATACGAACTCACATCTCGAGTCTTTCCTGGTGTGGTGGCTCTAAGAGCCCCCCTTTGACCCCAGAGGTACTTTTAATAAGTTTAAGGCCTCCCAAAGTTCATCAGCTCCCACGAGCCCAGGATTCTCATGTGCATCCCCGCCGCTCCTGACCCACAAGACTCGAACTGGCATCCCAAACCATCTGTCCCAAGAGGACGACCGAGACCGCTAGCAGGCGCCCGAGAGCCTCCTAAGAGGCCCGGAAAAAAAAAAAAAAAACATCACGAGGCCCCAACCAGGCCTCCCGAGGGTCCGCAAGGGGACCCAAAAGGTCTCGCCCGTGGACACCATCTCTGGGTGCCCGCTCTGTTTCACTGCATGTCTCTTTTCGTCCTTTCCCCGCCAACTCTCATGGGCAAATTTATGAATGGGCTGGTGGGGATGTTTTGGTCGCGGCCGCAAGCGAAGGCGCAGGCGGCGTCAAAGGTCGACCCGGGCTACGGGCGGGCCTACTTACCAAGCGAGCGCACTCACGGCTGCCGAAGATGCCGCCGAGGGATGCTGAGTGGCGCCGGGGGCTGAAGGCAGGCTGCAGGAGCTGCCAGGAGAGCCAGGCGGCCGACGTGCAGCCATCCCAGAAGCGAGACCACCGGGAAGACGAACGAATTGTCACTGGTGGGGATACGCGGAGCGTGAAGAATTGGTGATCTTTATTCTGGCGGCAGCGCCTTTGGTGAACCACTAAGTGCCCTCGGTGCGATGTCGAGATTCGGCAAGGGGCTGGTATAAGAACCGCTCGGGGCTGGCATAGGAATCGTTCGCCAACGAGGGACTTCTTTTCGGAGTACTTTTCTACGAATGAGCATGTACGGCTTGTTGACAATGTCAAATATCAAATATAATCTCTCTCCACTCTTCGCCAGGCAAGACTTGTGGCTCCACTGGATGCAAAAGCCTATCAGCGTCGAAGCTGACTTCGAAATTCTGGTCAGGCGGACATTCACCAAGACAAATCGCCAGGATACGGGCGCGGGGGACGTTGAATTGCTTTGCAGCGTCGCGGCAAGAACGAAACAAAACCCAGTCCCCTGTACCGCGCGGCCGTCCCCACACAAGCCTCGCATTCTTTTGAGCTCGGCATCCCCTCTGCGCCGCCATCTCAAGCCAATGGGCCGCGTTGCCCGCTGGTGTTACGTATTCCAAATTGGTGACGCAATTGTTGCTGGGGTCATTGTCTTTGTGGTTTACACACCAAGGAGCCGGGATCCGACAAGGCCCCAAAAAAGTTCGTGCAACCAAGCGGTGAACGTGGACATGCATTTTCTTGTGGCCGACAGTGTAAGTAGTACTCCTGTAGCCACCTGAAGTGAGGGAGCCCCATGATGTTAAACCTCGCTTCGTTTTGACCCAAAAAGGGGGTTCAGCTGAAAGGGGGTGGTGAAATAGGTTTGGGGCATTTGTATTGCACATATATATATACACATATACAATATATATACACATACATACATGTGTTTACTGCGCCACAGAATTCCCAGCAATACACTTGCGCACCGGAATGTACTGCTGCAATACATTCCGGTGCGCAAGTGGATACATTGCAAAAGACTTGGGGCGTGCAATATGATTGCACGCCCAAAACCTTTTGCAACCCCACAAATCCCTTGCACCAAATCTATCGCACCACCCCCTTTCCGCTGGACCCCATTTTGGGTCAACCAGATTCGTACATACGCGCCCATGAGAACTTACTAAAAATTGCTCTATTGGAGTTCCAGTGTCCGGGTGAAGTGCCCCTTGCCACACTTCGTCTGCAATTACGTCTGGTGTGGACGAAGCAGCGTATCGCAACTCATGTCCAGTCAATGTCTTTCGCACACCAGCGCAGGCTCGGCTGATAGCGGATGTAGATACATTCAGTGCCTCAGCTGCTCTGCTGACCGACGGATAGTGAGACCACTCGTCATGATCACATCGCCGCACCAGCACAGCCTTCCATAATGCCTTGACCTCCCGATCACGGCGTTTCCAAGAATCCAGAATGTTCTCTCTTCGTGTGACATACTCTAAATTGTGGACAGCATTATTATCGCGTCTCCCATCCTTGTGGTTGACTTGACAGTGCGCCAATGATGGAGGTGCTCCCAAAAAAGTTCGCGCTACCAATCGATGAACAAATTTCCTGGTGCCTCCAATCCTAGTAACAAAGTAACCATCTTTGACTGGAGTGCCTCGGCCTACAATTCCGGCTGTACTTCGGACACGCCCAAACGAACTGACTAGAGGTAATCTTGAGTCAAGCATCGAACAACAATGTAATACGCAACCGATCGTTTCATTGTGGCGACACTGAAACCTCGAAAACGCAACAACACGTGTTCTAGGAAACATCGCCAAACACCATGCTGACAAGTGCCACGGTGCCCGTTCCATACACTTCACAAGTATGACGCCTCTGCATCTGCGGCAGGAGCCTGTGCCAGGACGACTTGAGCTGAAATGGCTTGAACAAAAATTGCTACAGAACCTACCTTCCGCATCATTGAATCGGGCGTAGGCGTCGTCTACAAGTACTGCATGGAACAAACTAAGCGAACCACGAAAAATAGGAATCACTACTCCCCTGCCAAAATTTGTGTTCGGCCCCCCCCCCAAACCGTGTGGTGACGGCACCGCGTGGTGACCTCGGAATCCCCAACGACCCCCCCGCGCGGTCAGTCACCAAAAGGTGTTGGGACCTTGGAAGACCCAGTCGCCCGAGACGTCCTCGGAGAACGACCCGAGTCCCAACACCGTGCAGTGACCCCACATCCCAAATGACTCACCACGCGGTGGTCACCACGCCGCTTGGGGGCCCGCGACACTTGCGTGCACAGATCCCCCGCCCGCATCTTGGCCGATTCTGGAGACCATTGATCCCCCGAATGCCGACGTTTCACTTTGGCGGCTAGCACGAGGGGGTAGGGGGACGGGAGAAGGCTTCCCAGAAGAAGGCCGCTTCTTAGAAGGCGTCGGCCCTACGTCTACAGACAAGGCCCGCGATTCCTCTTCCTACCGAAGCGGCTGCCCGCTCCCTCCCCATCTCGATTTCGCGTCTTTTCCCATCCAGTCTTCGGGGAGAGAGGGCTGGCCCGTTCAACGCGGACCGCCAGGGCCGGCGTGCTCTTTGTCGCTGACTCGTCTCTTGCCATCCAGTGCTCTATGCTCCTTGCAGTGCCTTGCAGAGTTTGAGTCTCTGGCCTGTTGTTGTTGAGCACAGCTTCATGCTGATGCCACCGTTCGACGACGATCCCCCTTCTGCGCGTGACTGATTCTCACTGTTATTTACGCCAAGCTTCTGGCGGCGGACCCGCCGCCAGCCTCCGCCGCTCTTCCGCCGCTCTTCCGCCGCCTTGCGGCGAAGGCGAGGCGGCGGGCCGAAGACGAGGCCCTCCCTCGAGCGCACCGTGCAGCTTCCGGGCTGGCCTCCAGATGTGGCGGCCTCAACACTCCCACGTACAGCAGGAGCTCGACCACAAGAAATCTTCCACAAGAGACCCAACCCTGAGGCCCCAGGACGTCCATTAATTTTTGAAGTTGGAGCGTCACGCTTTCCATGGCAACGCCATCGCAGCCCAAGAAACCCAGGGCGCCCTGGAGGCAAGCAGGGTGTTTCTTGGCATGGGCCCCCACTGTACGGGCCTCGGGACCGTCAAGGAACGACCCGGGAGGAAGCACCAGTCCTGGGGAATGGGTCCGGACCTCTGGGGATCGCGTCATGCAAAAATCGTGGCGTCAGGGGTATGGGTACCCTGGGGTGCGGATCAGGGCCCCGCGGGCGGGGATTTCGACAAAACTGCCAGGGGGAACTCCACGTGCTCTCGGCGCCGCATTCGAGGTGCAGCCAAGCGGGATAGCTAACCGGCGCCTGAAAACAACTGAATGTATCTGGCGAGGCGCACGCCGAGTAGAACGAAGTGACTGCGGTGTGCTCTGGCGCACTCGGACGCCGTGCCGAGTGAACCGGGATAGATTTCCTGTCGACTTGTCTGAAAGAGAGCCCAGAATCAAATCGACAAGTCGGATCGGCGGTCGAAATGAACCCGATCGGCGGACATCGGCAGCCAAGCCGGGAGAAGCCGACTCGGCGGACATCGGCAGGCTAGAAATCAAACTCCCACTCAAAATCCGTCGTCGCATCGAATCGGCATCGGAATCGGAATCGGCCGAGATCGAATCTCGAATCGAGTCGGGGGAGCCGGAATGAGCCTTGTGTCTGGGCGGGCGTTCTCGCAAAGCCCGAGGCCTCCACTTAGGCCGGGCGTGTCCTTTTGCAGGCGGGTTTTGGAAGACATAAAACAGACTTACCTATACGACCACCCTTCGGGTGATAAGGAGGTTCGGGGGGGGGGGAACCAACGTCTCACTCGATCGGTCTCACTATCGATCTCAGTATCGATCTCACTATCGGTCTCGCTCGATCGATCTCACTCGATCAATCTCACAATCGATCTCACTCGATCTATCTCATTCGATCGATCTCACAATTGATCTCACAATCGATCTCACAATCGTTCACACAATCGATCTCACATTCGGTCTCAATATCGATCTCACAATCGATATCACAATCGCTCTCACAATCACCGTCATCATCATCATCAACAACATCATCAACATCAACATCATCACCAACATCGTCATCATCATGAGGGCACCGTCATCATCATCATCATCATCATCACCATCATCATCATCATCATCATCATCATCATCATCAGCATCATCATAAACATCATCAACAACGTCCATCATCGGGACAACATCATCATCATCATCACCATCAGCATCTCATCATCAACATCATCGTCATCATCATCGGGACACAGTCATCGTCATCATCATCAGCAGCATCATCATGATCATCATCATAATCAGGACACCCTCATGATCACCATCGTTCTCATCATCAACATTATCATCAACATCGTCATCATCCTCGGGACACCATCATCATCATGATCATCGCATCATCATCATCGACATCATCATAATCAACAACATCATCATGGGGGGCACCATCATCATCATGAGCAACATCATCATCAACATCGTCATTAGCATTATTATCATCATCGGGACACCATCAGCATCACCATCATCATCTTCATCATCACCATCATCATCATCAGCATCATCACCGGGACACCATAATCATCATCAACATCATCATCAACATCATTATCGATGGGACACCATTTCCATCAACATCATCATCACCAACATCATCATCATCATCAGCATCATCATCATCATCATCAACATCATCATCTTCGGGACACCATCATCGTCATCATCATCAACATAATCATCATGAGCATCATCATCGGGACACTATCATCATCACCGACACCATCATCAACATCATCATCATCATCATCATCTTCATCGGAACACCATCGTCATCATCTTATCATCTTATCATCTTACCATCTTACCATCTTACCATCTTACCATCTTACCATCTTACCATCTCACCATCTTATCACCTTATCATCATCATCATCATCATCATCATCATCATCATCATCATCATCATCATCATCATCATCTCATCATCATCATCCTCGCGGGACACCGCGGGACACCGGCGGGACACCGCGGGACACCGCGGGACACCGCGGGACACCGGCGGGACACCGCGGGCCCCCGGCCGCCCGGAAGGGAGTCATTTGGTCCGGCCGCGCCTCAGCCACACGGGACACCAGCGGGACACCGGCGGGACACCGCGGGCCCCGGCCGCCCGGAAGGGAGACATTTGGTCCGGCCGCGCCTCAGCCACAGGAGACTTTCTCTCGCCCGCCCACGCAGCTTCGCCTCGCCCGCACGGCACGCACGAACACGAAACCGAAATCGATTTCCCGGTAGGGGGGCTCTCCGTTCCACTTCGATCTCACCCCCCAACCTCCGACAACATACGTATTCAAAACATCAGAACTTCAAAAGGATCGATCCCTGACTTGTTGGTTGACTATTTCTGTAGAGGGGCATGCCCGACTCAAGCTTCCACCCCCTCCGCTGCAGGGGCCTGCAGGGCTCCTCTGGGAGAAAAATCAAACAATCAAAAAACAAAAAAAAGGGCAACGAGATCAAACGTATCCAAAGCATCGTCCCCTGATTTTTTGCTGGAGCAGTTCCCCCCCCCCCTGCAGGGCTCCGGGGCCTCGTGCTCCTCGGGCCCGCCGTGGCAGCAGAGGCATGGCGCGCCGCAGCGCGTGCTCTCGGCGTCCTCGCCTGGCGGCGGGGGCGGGGGCGCGCGCGCTGGCGCGCCGCGCGGGGGGGGGGGGGCGGACGGGGCGGGGGCCGCGCAGGAGAGAGAGGAGAGAGAGAGAGGATGGGTGGGAGGGGTAGGACGCCAGATGTGGAGCGAGCGATCATCATCATCATCATCAGCATCAGCATCATCATCATCATCATCATCATCATCATCATCAACAGCATCATCATCATCATCAGCATCATCATCATCATCATCATCATCATCAACATCATCATCATCACCATCATCATAATCATAATCCGCTTTCTCCCTCTCCTCTTCCTTCTCGTCCTTCCTCCTCCCCCCCTCCTCCTCCTCCTCCTACTCCTCCTCCTTCTCCTCCTCCTCTCTCCTTCCTCCGCTCCTCCTCCTCCTCCTCCTCCTCCTCCTCCTCCTCCTCCTCCTCGTCCTCCTCCTCCTCCTCCTCCTCCTCCTCCTCCTCCTCCTCCTCCTCGAGAGAGAGAGAGACGGAGAGAGGGAGAGAGGGAGAGAGACGCTCCGAGGCGAGGCGCGCCTCCCGATCGGCAGGGGGAGGGGCAAGCGCCTGCCCCTCCCGAGCTCCGAGGGGGAGGCGAGCACCGCCTGCGTGAGCAGGGGGTCCCCGAAACGACGTCCCCCCCTGGCGCCGAGGCAACTGAGCAAGAGGCGCGGGCAGGTGGCAGAGATTCAGTGTCCTCCTCCTCCTCCTCCTCCTCCTCCTCCTCCTCCTCCGCCTGCCCCTCCTCAAATGCTTGGGGGTTGGACAGGATCCCCATCTAGCAGGACACTCCTTAAAGAAAAGGATGCCCATCTGGCAGCATCCCCATGCGCGGGCTGGTGGCGGGAGAAAAAGATGAAGCAGAAATGGACTAATGACCTCATGAAGCCTTCGCGCTGCGAGTCCGACGCGACAAAGAGCTACGAGGACCTGGCTCGGTTCGACCCATGGTCTCTGGGCCATTCCCCAGTCCAGAACCCGTCGATCTATCTCCGACGGGTTGACATCAAGAGAGAGGAAAAGGAAAGAGGGAAGGTTGGATGGAGGCCTCCGAGCTGGGGTCCGAGTAAGTTGACAGGGTCGGAGGATAGTGCCGCATCGACGACGCATTGGCGATGCGGCTCGATGTGGAGCCCGACTTTCTCCACGCCGACGTCGCCGATGCATTGCACACGTCGCCAATGCATCGACGATGCTTCGACGATGCCTCGGCGACGCATCGGCGATGCGGCGCGATTCTCCGAACCCATGTGCCCGGACCACATCTGGGAGGCCTATATGGGAGGCAAGCCTGGGGGGCAGAAGCAGAGCGGGGCGCAGCACTCTTGGGGAGCGGGAGCAGGAGAAGGAGGACGAGGGCGGGGAGGGGGAGGCTGGAAGAAAGGGGCCCCTCAGGGCTGAAAGGTCGGCGGCTGCGCCCAGGCGGGGCCGCAGCCCGCGAAGGGCAGGGGAGGGACACAGAGCGACCGGATTCGGATCGGAGGGAGGAGGTGGAAGGGGAGGAGGAGGAGGCGGAGAAGGAGGAGAAGGAGGAGGAGGAGGACGAGGAGGAGCAGGAGGAGGAGGGGGAGGAGGAGAGGAGGATGAGAAGGAGGAGGAGGTGCAGGAGCAGGAGGAGGGGGAGGAGGAGGAGGAGGAGGAGGAGGAGGAGGAGGAGGAGGAGGAGGAGGAGGAGAGAAGAGAAGGAGGAGGGAGGAGGAGGAGGGAGGAGGAGGAGCAGCAGGAAGGGGAGGAGGAAGAGGAGAGGAGGGAGGAGGAGGAGGAGGAGGAGGAGGAGGAGGAGGAGGGAGGAGGCGGAAAGGGCGGACGGAGCGGCGAAGGGGGCGGAAAGGAGCGAGGCGACAGGGAACAGGCAAGCCGGGCAGGTGGGGCAGGCGTCCTCCCGCAGAGGATCGCACGTCGGGACCGCGGGGGCTGGGGCCCTCTGGCAGGGGGCTGCAGGGAAGACGAGGAGGCGACTGCGCCGACGTCCGCGGCGTCCGCCCCAGGACAGGGCATGCCTGCTGGTGTAGGAAGGGTTGTCGTTCATATACACACATAAATATAATACGAATGATAAGATCAATGCTAGTAGTATTGATAACACTCCTCCTACTACTGCTACTGCTACTACATCTACTACTACTACTACTACTGCTGCTGCTGCTGCTACTACTGCTACTACTACTGCTACTGCTGCTGCTGCTGCTACTACTACTACTATTACTACTACTGCTGTTCACTACTACTACTACTACTACTACTACTACTACTACTACTACTACTACTACTACTACTACTACTACTACTACTACTACTACTACTACTACTACTACTACTACTACTACTACTACTACTACTACTACTACTACTACTACTACTACTACTGATACTACTACTACTACTACTACTACTACTACTACTACTACTACTACTACTACTACTACCACTAGTCATAATGACACTATTCAAAACATGAAATACGAATACTCATAAGAATGGTGGTAATAACAAAACACGAATATCAACAATAATAAAGCATGAGTATACATAATACTAAGAAAGATAGTGCTACGAATACTGACAATGATAATACTGATAGGAACAATCATAACACTACTAACCATAACAATGCTATAAAACATGGGGGAGGCCCGAGGCCCGCGACTGCCCACACGCCCCTGCGCACCTCCGCGCCCGGGGACCGCGCAGGGGGTCCGCAGAGGACCGTGAGGGCCCGAGGAGAAGCAGGCGCCTCGGGGGGGCAGAGAGGAGGGGCAGGCCCGGGAAGCGAGGCCTCGGGCGCGAAGCAAGGGAGGGCGATGCAGCAGAGTGAGGGCCCATGCCAAGAAACACCCTGCTTGCCTCCAGGGTGCCCTGGGTTTCTTGGGTTTCGATGGCTTTGCGACGGAGAGCGTGTAACGTTCCCACACCCAAAGTCAATGGGCGCTCTGGGTCTCAGGGTTGGGTTTCTTGTGAAAAGGTTTCGGGTGGATTGGCCTCCACTGCAGGATCCCGGCCACAAGAAACCTCCCACAGGCAAAAAACCCAGCCCTGAGGCCCCAGGGCGTCCACTGATCTTTGGTGTGGGAGCGTCGCGCCTTCCATCGCAAGACCATACAAAAAAACAAGAAACCCAGGGCACCCTGGAGGCAAGCAGGGTGTTTCTCGGCATGGGTCTCTCCTGCACGCGGCGGGGGGGGGAGAAAGGTGCGTGCCCCTCTCGGGCCCCAAAGGCCCCCTTCTGGGGCCCCAAAGGGCCCCCTTCTGGGGCCCTCGAGGGGCCCCTCAGAGGCCCCAAAGGGCCCCTTTGCTGCGGCCCTCGCCGCTCCCCCCCCCCCCCTGGCCATCGCCCCCCCTTTCTACGCGCCCCCGAAAGCCTCCTCGCGGGGACCTCTCCGGCGGGGGCCCCCTCTCCCGTGCTCGCGGCGGCCGCGCGTCGACGCTGCGGGGGCTGGGAAAACGGAGGGAGGGGAGGTCACCCCGGGCAGTTTTTAATACATAGGATTTTTTCCCAATCATCCTGTGGTGCTGGGTCCTCGTTTTGAAGAGGCAGCGCCCCGCGTTCCTTCCTCCTCCCGCTTCTCCCTCCCCCTCCTCCCTTCTCCCCCTCCTTGCCTGTGCCCTCGGCATACCTCTCACACGTGTCGTAGCCCCATAGGGAGCTCCACCGAAGGCCCCACTGCCGGTGTTCGCATGCGGGTCCCCCACCCAGGGCGGCGTTTCGTGGCCCCATAGGGAGCTCCACCGAAGGCCCCACTGGGGGTGTTCGCATGCGGGTCCCCCACCCAGGACAGCGTTTCGTGGCCCCGTAGGGAGCTCCACCGAAGGGGTGGTCACTTCGATCGGGAGCCCCCGAGCGAAATGAACCCCGACCCCCCCCCCTAGAAATCGTGGGGCGTGGGGGTAGGGTTCACATGTGGTCACCGAGTAAGACTCGGGTTCGGGGGACTCGGGTTGGCCTGGCGAGACCCAGCTGAAATTTGACGCGAACTCCCGCTGCGAACATCCCACGGTCAGAATCCAGGACGAGCTCGTCAAAAAACGTCGGCAAACCGGAGTTCCGGCTTATTCGAATCTCACGTTCCCCGAAAGGGGAACATGTCCCGAGCAGAGCAACACGCACCACGACCACGACGGCGCCGACAACGATGACGGAGACGAGGCGCGCAGGCGATGCGCACCGATGCGCACGGAGTACGGAAAGGGCCCACCCTGCAGGTGGGGTCAGACAGCACATCCCTGAGGGCTGCGGAGGGCAGAGGGCCCGTGGAAGGCTCCTCCGCGGTTTCGCCTGGGTCTCTTCGGCGGCCACTTTTAGAAGAAGAAAAAAATCATAAAAGCGGATTTCTTGGAATCGCGCTGGAGACCCCTCCCTGGCGTGCGGAGCGCGCCAGGGGCAGCGCAGGAGGCACAATCCGGGGGGGCCCAGCGCGGATCCAGGAAATCCGCGCGGAGCGCCGCAAAAGTTTATGTCTACGCTGTCTCCTTGGAATCTTCGAGGTCCCTAAGCCCTAAGACGAAGGCAGGCTCGAAGACCCCCCCCCACGACGAAGGCGTTTTGTCCTCTTCAATCCCGGGGCCACTTCGGCAGGCGGAGCCCCTCGGCGCACCCCGGCGGCCGCCCTGGCCGTTTTGGAGGGGTCCGCCTGGGGGCGCGCCCGGGGCCGCGTCGCCTCCCGTGTGTGTGTATATATGTATATGTATGTATACATATACATATGTGTATATGTGTATATATATATATATGTACATGTATGTGTGTGTGTGTTCTCTCTCCCTCTCTCTCTCTCCCTCTCTCTATATTTGTGCATATATATATATATATATATATGCGAAGCGCCCCGCCAGTCCTACTCGCGGCCGGAGGATGAGAGAGGGAGGAACAGAGGACGGAGGAGGTGGCGGCAGGCGGAAGCCGGGAAGGAAACCGACCAGGATCTCGAGGCGAATCCGGCCGTGGCGACGATGATGATGATGATGATGATGATGATGATGATGATGATGATGATGATGACAAAGGTGATGATGATAATGATGATGCTGATGATGATGATGCTGATGATGATGATGATGATGCTGATGGTGATGGTGACGGTGATGATCCTGATGATGATGATGATGATGATGATGATGATGATGATGATGAGGATGACGATGATGATTATGCTGCTGCTGCTGATGATGATGATGATGATGCTGATGCTGATGCTGATGGCTCAGCTTGAGCAGGCGGCAGCGCATCAGCTGGGCAAAATAATTCAGATGTGCTCGAAACCAATGGATGTTCAATCAGCTTCGGTGTGTATATGTGCACTTGACGTGGATTGTAGCATTGCCGTGGCGACGAGACACCCTGGGAGGCCCCCACGAAGCGAACAGAAACGAGGCAAGGCTTGCGGCCATGGCGCGTGTCCTCCTCTGAGGAGGGGCGGAGCGAGCAGCAGAGGGGGCGGAGGCGAGGGCAGGATAGTCACCCCGTACAGGAAGGATGCGCGACAAGGCTGCAAGGGCCCGGGAAGGCCACGCCGCAGCTCTTCGAGCGGGGCGCGGCCTACGAAGGGGGCCAAGGATGGGCCGAGGAGGCAAGGATGCAGGGGGTACCCTTGGGAAGGGTGCCCATCCTCGCTATGCGGGTTGACTGTAGCCTGTAGCCCAAATTGGGATCGGAAAATCCGATCGGCAATCGAGAAGCACCGAAGCGGCAGGAATCGGAAGGCAGGTCGGCGGGCGTCGAAACCGACGTCCAGCGGCATGGGACGAAGCCTGACAAGGGAATCCGAATCGAAGTCGCCGTGCAGCGTCGAATCGGCTCGAAATCGAGACCCTCGAGATCGAATCGATCCGAATCGATAGATAGTCAAAATCACTCCTGCGCAAGGTCAACGTCGATGTCGATTTCGGCTGGGTCGATCCGAATCGGCTCTGGTATGCCGACGATGCTGATGCTTGCGCAGCGTTGTTGCGCAGCCTGACGCGGCCGATCCTGCTCGACTCCGACTCTGTGCCGATGCGGTGAGGTGAGGCCCCGGGTGGTCTGCCGTTGTGGTTCACCGAGGTGGCCGCTTGAGGGGATCTCCATCGCTTCGTCTGGGGGCGGCGAGGGGGGCCGCTATCTCTTGATGCCGCGGGTCCCAGACGGGTGGGGTCCGAAATGGCTCCTCTGGGAGGTCTGTGCCCCCCCCGTCCACCACAAAATTTGGAACACATTTCCGACCCGATCCGATCGTGAGCGTTTTGTTAGTCGGCGTCTCAACACTGGGCGGAAGGGCAGGCTGGGCATTTTCTCAGGGTGGAGGGCTCAGGGTGAAGTCCATGTGGGCTTTTGCACCTCGAAAATCAATCCGTCGCGTGATGCGCCTTTTGCAGATTCAAGCCTCGAAAATCCATCGAAACGGCATTTGAGATTTCATCCTTTGCCCTCCACCCAAAGAAAATGCTCGGGTAGGGGGAGAGGGGTCTGGCTCTGGACCTCTGCTAAATGCGACTCTTGCAGCAGGTGCGCCCTGGTGGGGAGGCCCCAGCTGCTTGAGACAGGCGCCCATCAACAGCCAAGATCTGCTCCCCATGCGGGTGGGGGGGGGGAGGAGGGGGGGGTGCGAGGGCCCGCGCCGATCGGCGAAACAATGAATGAGACAACGACGACATGCCCAGACCCCCGGCGCCATGATTTTTCCATGACGCGGCCCCCAGAGGCCTGGACCCCTTCCCTGGGACCAGTTTGTCATCCTGAGTCGTTTTGAGGGGCAACGATAGGGGGGGACTGGCATAGGGGGGGATGCATCGACCTGGAATCGGCGATACATCACCGATAGATCGGCGATAGGCCCCCGATAGCGAAACCACACCTTCCTGGGCGGGACGGAGCTATCATTAGGTCGGACATGTCCTACTACCAGGAGGTTTGGGAAGAAAAATGTCCAACAATATTCAAAAAGGAAAAGTACGCAAAACATCGTCCCCCTATTATTTTTCTACTACTATGTTTGAGCATTCCCCCTATAGACCTATAGAGGGACAGGCTCGACTTAAGGCTATCGGACCCCTATCTGCGATCAATGGGCGATTAGGGGTCGATGCATCCCCCCTATGCCTATCCCCCCTTATCGTTGCCCCTGACGTTTTTGCTGCCGGCTTCTCGAGGCCCGGTATGAGGCCACCCAGGGGCTGAAACTAGCGAAAAACCTCCCGCCGTGAGTTCTGCATGCCTCGAGGAGGTCTGGGTGCCCCGACGCGGCGCTGGCGGACCCCCGGGGAGGCGGGCGCGCGAGCCGCTCGCCGTCGTCGTCGGCTCCGGCGCACGCGTGGCCGAACACGCCCCCCATCGGGCCCCCCCGGCGGGTGGCCCCACCCGGCGCCCGGCGCGGGCGCGCCGCGGAGGCGTCGTGTCGGGCATGTCCTCCTACAGGCGGATTTCGGGTGATTTTCTGTTAACCACATATGTGTATATATACACATAAAAAACAAATAAAAACATATTCAAGCAAATATACTCAAAAGAGCACAAACAATCATCCCCCGACAATTTGTTTTACCATTCTCGGATGTTCCTCCTGCAGAGGGGCATGCCCGACTCAAGCGCAGCGGCCCGTGGTCCCCTGGGCCGGTCCGCCTGGAGCCGGCGGGAGGCGGCTGGATGGGTGGGCAAGGCTCGACGCGGGGCGGCGGGCACTGGGAGCGCCGCGCCGGCTGATGGGCCTATTTTCCACCACCACCACCAGGCTAGGAGGAGGAGGAGGAGGAGGAGGAGGAGGAGGGAGAAGAGGAGGAAGAGGAGAACGAGGAGAAGGAGGAGGAGGAGGACCCCCTCCCCCTCCAACTTATGGCGGTGGTGGTGGAAAACAAGCCCATCAGTGGCTGCGGAGTGGACCGGGGGTCTCTGAGCGGATGCTCACAGGTGGGCCACAAGTGCCCCGAGCGGCTCCGGTGGGTTCGAGAGCTCCGCCAGGCGGGCGGAGCCCACCTGGCCAGGACATCTGACCCACTGATGAGCGCTAGGTGAGACCAAATAGGACTCATCTTAGCAATCACCGCAGAGATCCATATGGGCCCCGGCCTTTTTCCAATTTTTGTTGCCAGTTCCTGTGACGTTCTCTTTCATGGTTCCGGCGCCGTTTTTTGCTTTCGGGTGTCGGTTCCAAGTCCGGGGCATTTGGCTGTCATTCTTCGGGGGCCAATGCATTCTTACCTTTCCAGTTGTCCACGAGCCGTGTCGTTTTTCATGGCAAAGAAGCGGCCCTGCCGTTTCCGACGCCCTCTACGCGGCCGCCGCCCACTACGCAGGTGCGCCGCGGAGGGAGTGGGGGCGAGCACGGTTGTGTTGCAGAGCGTCCCACCCTGGGCGGGCAGAAGAGGCGATCCCATCCTGTCCAGGACGTCCAGTTTTAGGTCGGGCGTGTCCTCGTACAGGCGGGACGAAAAAAACACAATAATCTAAAACAGAACCAAACGATACTCAAACATATTCAAAATAAATCACCCCACACTAGTTTTCACTATGTCTGACTACTCCTCCCGCAGAGGGACCGGCCCGACTCAAGTCGAGCTGTCCAGACTCGAGTGTCTGGCCCACCACGGAGCAGGGACGCACGTGCTGCGGGGCAGGAGGACCCGAGGCACGACGGACAGGGCGCCAGGGGGCGCTCGCTCCTGCAGGGCCGCCAGGTCCACCTGCAAGCCAGGCCCGAGCCGCGCACTGGACGGGCGCAGGGCTTCTGGGCGTCCACGAGGAGGAGGAGGAGGACGAGGAGGAGGAGGAGGAGGAGGAGGAGGAGGAGGAGGAGGAGGAGGAGGAGGAGGAGGAGGGGGAGGGGGAGGGGGAGGGGGAGGGGGGGAGGAGGAGGAGGAGGAACAGAACCCGCCCTCAGGAGAACGGCATGCTGCCGCACTGCCCGGGTACGGTGGAGGCCCGTTCACAAGAAACCTTCCACGAGAAGCCCAGCGGGAGCTCAGGACGTCCATCAATTCTCGGCGCGGGAGCGCCACTCTTTCCTTGAGAAAAACCATCGAAATCCAAGAAACCCAGGGCACCCTGAAGGCAAGCAGGGTGCTTCTTGGCATGGGCCTCCACTGCATTGCAAGAGGTGGCCCTGGCCCGAGGTGGCCCGAGCTCTCCCGGAGAGGCACCACTGGCTTCCAGAGCACCCCGCGCGAGGACGAGAGGGCCCCAGGGCGGTCAAAGTAGCGAGAAGCGCTGGAGGCACCTTGATCGAAGCAGGGCGAGTTTTGTGGATGCCATGACAGAAGGACACCCTAACGGTCCCATCATTGACTGCACCTGTGTTTGCAATGTTTGAAAATATTCTACAAATGCTAAGAACATGGTTCTACATGTTTCAGACATGTCACAAACACATGGTTTAGACATCTGCAAATTACTTGGCAACATGCTTCCGCTCCATTGATAGTCTTCCACAGGGCGAGTGCAGATAACGGCAGCTCAGCATCGGTCCCTGGACCCCTCCCCGGGACCCAAAGCACCCGTTTTTTCCGAGCTGGGTCCGGCCGTAGCAGCGAGGGCCACTCCCGAAGATCAATTACCGCTGCCTCAACTCGCCCTCCTCTGACCTAACCATGTCTACCAACACCCGAGCTGCTGCCTCCGAGGTCCCCGGAGGACCCCGGAAAACCCTCCGAAGTTCCTCGCCGCTGGACTCCCCAGAGGGCAGCCTGTGGAGGACCCCCCGGAAGCCCCCGGCAGGTTCAAGAGCACTTTTGCTCCTCCTCATGCTTCCTCCTCCTCCTCCACCTCCTCCTCCTCCTCCTCAGCCCCCCATCCTTCTCCCGCGCCAGGCACCATGTAGGCCTGGGCGGTTTATTAATTTTTCTCCCAAGAGGGATTTCCTTCTACGGGCTCCTTACCAAGGGTTCCTCACTGAAGATTCCTTATGGAGGATCCCTTTCAACCATAATCGGTTACGAAGGATTTCCACTCAGGATCCCTTACTGAGAACTTATCAAGAATTCCCTATCAAGGAATCAATATGAAATTTTTCATTTAGTTCATATGAGTAATATCAAGGAATTTAGTAGAACCTTTAAGGTTCTGCTAAAAAACCCGTGCGACGAAGAAAACTGCAAAAAAGAAGTCCTTACTACTGGCAAATTACTAACGACACCCTAGTACGGAAACCTTGCTCGGATCTCCATACGAAGGGTCAAATACGTAAGACTCCATAAAATGGACTCCATTAACCAGGATTCCTTACTAAACGTGATTCCTGAATGCGGATTTACGATCAAGGACTCCTCAGTAAGGATTCCCGAGTAAGGAGACCTTGCTAAGGGCTCCTTACCAAGAGTTCCCCAGGTCTGCATTTGTTATGGTTGATTTCTTAGTAAGGATTCCTCACTGAGGGTGCCCGACGGAGGATTTCTTAGCCAGGATTCCTTAACTCTGTCGCAAGGATTCCTTACTAAGGGGTCTCGACTAAGGCGGCGGTCTTAGGAATCCTTGCTAAGGGCTCCCTGGCCAGGATCCCCTCTTACGGATCCCTGACTAAGAACCCGTCACTAAGAAATTTTACAGTGGGCCCGTGATGATGTAATTATTCACAAGGGTTCTCTTGTCAGAAATTTCCCAATCAGTGCTTGCACTGAAGGGGTCCTCGCGGATGTTGAAGGATTTGGCGAAAATACGTCCCGCCGATTTTGGTCGCATGCTGGGTTCCCAGGTTCCCGGGTTCCCGGTTCCGGGCCAATGTCGGAGGGCGGCGAGGTTCCCGGGTTCCCGGGTTCACAGGTTTCTGGGCGATCTTCTCATCGATCGGTCTCACCATCGATCTCATTACCGACTTCTCAATCGATCTCACCATCGATCTCCCAATCGATCTCCCTACCAATCTCACAAGCGATCTCACTAGAGATCGCATGAGCGATCTCGCGATCGATCTCACTACCGATATCATTGAAACGATGTCATGCTCGGTCTCACGATCGACCTTACAATCGTCCTCACGATCGATCCCACTATCGATCTCATGATCGATCTCAGAGTCGATCTCAAGATCCATAGTATCAATTTTCAAACCATCCACTGATTGGGTTTTCCCAGGTGTAATATCTATTCAAAAACCACTGGGGATGACACCTCACTGAGGACTCCTGAATGAGAAGTCGATGTTAAAGTTTCCATATTAACGATCACGCTCGACTGCCAACATACTAGGGGCCAAGGATTCCTTACTAAGGGCTCAGTAGTAGGAGCCAACTGTCAATAATTTTTCAGCAAGGTTCCCAAATAAGGGAATATTGCTAAGGGTTCCCTAGTAGGGAGCCATCATGCGGATTCCCCATGGAGGAATCCGAAGTAGGGGGTCCTCACCAACGGCTCCTAAGTCAGCATTCCTTGTTAATGGTTCCTTGCAAAGGATCTCCCATTCAGACTCCCCTGCTAAGAACACCCTTGCGAAGAACTCATTACAAAGGAGTCCGTACCCAGGAGGCGCCACGTACGAATCCTCACTGGGGCCCCCGTGATCACCACTCGGTAATGAGTATGTCATATTACATACTCCTTACTACGAAAACCGAAACAAGGATTCCTTAGCACAGAATCCCTAGCGAAAAGCTCTTTGATACGCCTTCGCGATCAAGGAAGGTTCCTTGCTAAGGATACCCTGGTAGGGAAAACGTGTTGCGCAGGGTCCCCGACCAAGGATTCTCTCGTAAGGGTGCCGACGGATTCTTCTCCACAGCCTAAGTGGGGTTCTTGTTTTCTCTGGACACCCCGAGCAGACACAGGAACAGGAACCCACCGCCACCATGATCATCAACATCAGCATCATCATCAGCATCATCATCAACATCATCATCAGCATCATCGCCCTTGCCTTCGTCACTCAAACGCCAACGCACGCATACACATCATCAGCAACACCCTCGTCATCCCCTGGTCCTTCATTCGCTAACTCACCCACTCATCATCAACACCGTCATCATCGACGTCGCTCCCACACTCATGCACACTGGCACACAAACGCACCCACACACTCGCACAGTCAAACACTCATGCATTCATCTTGGGGAAGTCGAAAGCGGGAACCCCGTTCGTGAGTGGATTGCGGAAACATCTCAGGCGGGGGGGCCCTCCCCATGGAGCACGCAACTCACGTTGGCAATCCGAGCGGGTCATCCGAATCCTGTAGCTGTCGTCGCGTTTAGGCCCCTCGCGCCTGAGGATTGAGGGTGCCCCAGGCGGCAACCCAGTTTGTGAGTGAATTGCAACAAAGCTTTAGGAGGGAGCCCCCTTCCGTATGGAGCCCGCATTTCAAGTTGGTAGCCGAGCGGGCCATCCGAATCCTGCAACAGTCGTCACGGTTGGGCC